CAGTAACACAACAGAAAGAAATATAAAGGATACAAACAGCAAAAGAAGAAGTCAAATTATCCCTATTTCAGAAGGCATGATCCTGCACTGAAGATATCCTAAAGATTCAACCAGAAAACTATGAACTTGAATTGGGTGTGGTGGGGAACACCTTTAATCCCAGTACTCAGGAGACAGAAGCAGAATTTGAGGCCAGCCTTGTCTAAATAGTGAGTTCTAGGCCACCCAGAGCTGCATAGGGACATCCTGTCTCAAACAACAATAACAAAGAACCTCTTAGACCTGATAAACATTTTCAGTAAAGTAACAGGATACAAAACTGACAGTAGCTTTTTAATATATCAATAACAAACTTTCTAAGAAAATGTAATAAGGCACCTTCTTGACCACAGCTACGCCATATTAAAGTTTAGGCTGACTCTAGTATCTGAAATTATCAGGCAGTTGGCCTAGGGTATGGGAACACACATCAGCAGGACCCAGTTGTCTTGGGAACAGGTTAGTGTGTCCTGGAGAGCACCTGGTAACTGCAGATTTATGGCTTCTGTAGGTAATGCTTGGCTTGCTTCTGCAAAATAGTAATTGTTGGTTTAATTACTTTTCACCCTTGGTTATGGTTTCTCTGTATAAAAGCTTACCCTAGAGATGGTTTGGGGCTACACACTTGGGTTCCAACACCCTTGTGTAGTAGCCCTGGCAGTAATGACTTTCATTTGGCAAAACTTTGTCTGAGTGGTCTTCTCTGGTAAAGCACCCCACAACAAAAGAAACTGGGGAAAATCTCTCATTCACAAAAGCTTAAAACAAACAAAGGAAACCCTAGGAATAAACCCATCAAAGCAGCAAGTGAAAGACCTCTACAATGTAAAATTTAAGATAATGAAGAAATTGAAGAATTTACTAGAAGATGGAAACTCCCATGTTCATAAATTAGCAGAATTAGTATTATGAAAATGGCTATATTGCTAGAAGTTGTTTACAGATTCAATGCAATCCCTATCAAAATTCCAATGACATTCTACACAGAACTAAAAAAAAAAAAAACAAAAACCCAAAATGAATATGGAAACACCAAAGACCCCGAAGAAGCAAAACAATCCTGAGGAAAACAATACTGGAGATATCACAATTACCTGGCCTCAGATTTTACCACAGAGCCATGGTGGCAAAGACAACATGGTACTGGAACAAAAATAGATCAGTGGAATAGAAGAGAGGACTCAGAAATAAACCCACAAAGCTACAGTCACCTCATTTTGACAAAGGTATCAAAAATATATATTTTTTTGGATATATAATTTTGGGAAAAAATATATATAGGATAGTATATATATTGGATGGTCTCTTCAACAAAAGGTACTGGGAAAACTGGATATCTATATATAGAAGGATGAAACTAGATCTCTCTCTTACCCTGCAGAAAAACCACAAACATCCACACAGGGCATGGTGGAGTACCTTTAATCCCAGCCCTCGGGAGGCAGAGGAGAGCAGATCTCTATGAGATGGAGTCCAGCCTGGTCCACATAGTGACTTCTGGGCAGGCTGGGATGAGGGAGACCCTGTCAAAGACAAAAACAAAAAACCCTACAAACATGGAAACTGTCAGGGAAAAACACTTCAAGATACAGGCACAAACAAGAACCTTCTGAAAAGGACCCCTAACTAACAGGAAATAATCCCAAGAACTGACAAATGGTATTACATGAAATTTAAAAGGTTTGGAACAGCAAATAAAATACTCACCAGAGAGAGCCTACAGAATGGGAGAAAAATCTTTGCCAACTGCTTATTAAGCAAGGGGTTAATATTTAGCATATACAAAGAACTAAGAAAATTAAGTATCGTGACAAAGATGATTTTTTTTTTTTTTTGTCTTTTTGAGATAGGGTCTCCTTGTAGCCCCAGCTGGCCTTGAACTCATTATGTAGACCAGGCTGGCCTTGAACTCATAGAGAGCTACCTGCCTCCTCCCAAGCACTAGGACTAAAGGCATGCATCACCACACTCGGCTTAGCAAGGATGATTTTAAGGGCAAGAGTGCTTGCTGCTAAATCTGACAATTTGGTAGGAGAGAACTGACTCCTACAAGTTGTACTCTGACTTCCCAAACAAAATAAATGTGTCAAAATTTTTTATTTAAACACCAACCCATTTCTAAATATTCTAATCAATAAACATGCTAATCAACTGAACAAAAGTTTTCAAATGAAACATAAATGACTAATATTTGAAAAAGTGCTCAACATTCTTAGTTATCAGGAACATGCAAATTACAACTATGTCAATATATTCTTACCCTGGTAAGAATGGTTATTTATCAAGAAAACAAATGAGGCTGGAGATGGTTCTGGGGGTAAGAGCATTTGCCTATATATATTGAGGGGAGGTTGTCCATGAAATTAGAAAGGGGGTCATGAGAGTATAAAAATGTCTTCAGGAGGAAGGAAAAAGAAGAAGAATAGAATATATGTGACATAAAAGTGAAGGGGGGAACTACTGGGAAAGAGGAAAGAGACCAACAGGAGGGGCTGGGAGACAAGGGAAGGCAGAGGAGGAAAAGAACAAAGTATGTGTGAATACACCACAACAAAACCTATCACTTTGTATGTTAACTTTAAACACTAGTAAAAATGGGGCTGGAGAGATGGCTCAGCGGTTAGGAGCACTGACTGCTCTTGCAGAGGACCAGGGTTCGATTCCCAGCACCCACATGGTGGCTACGAACAGTCCTTAACTCCAGTTCCAGGGGAATCCAAAGCCCTCTTCTGACCTCCACAGCACTGCACGACATGGGTGCACTCACATACATGCAGGCAATGCACTCAATATACATAAAATAAAAATTTAAAAAAAAAATTAATGAGATGTTGAGATGGCTCATCAGGTAAAGGCACTTGCCACCAAACCTGGTAATGTGAGTTTGATCCCTGGAACCCACATGGTAGGAGATCTGATTCCTGCAAGGTTGTCTTCTGACCTCCACACTTGCACTACCGTGCCATGTGAATGTGTGTGAGTGCACACACACACACATAAAATGTAAAAATAACAAAAACCTAATAAAAATTAAATGAGCTGGGGCTGAAGAATGACTCAGTGGCTAAGAGCAACTCCCAGCACTCACATGGCAGCTAACGGTCATCTGTAACTTCAGTTCCAGGGGATCCAATGCCTTCTTCTGACCTCCGTGGGCATTGTATGACATTCACATACAGGCAGACAATACACTCATACACATAAAATTTTATATATATATAAATATAATATAATATTATATTATGTTATAATTATATTATATTATTATATATTATATTATATTAAAATTATATTATATATAATTAAATGAGTCAACAATCTTCTGCCTACCCTTAAATAGTTCAAATCAAACAGTTTGTTCTGGGCAATCCTAGAGCTCTTTGTTGCCAAACCCTAGCCCTCATTTTTCTAGACCTCTCAATTGCATTTCCCCAATTCTGAATATTTGGCCACATGCCAAACCCTGCACTTCATCCCAATAGAAAACTCGCTGCACCCAGAAAGACCAGAGATGAGGAAAAGTTGAGGTGCCATTTTCTTTTTTAAAAAATATTTTATTGGCCAGGTGTGGTAGTGCATGCCTTTAATCCCAGCAACTCGGGAGGCAGAGGCAGGCAGATCTCTGTGAGATTGAGGCCAGCCAGCCTGGTCTCCATAGTGAGTCTGGGCCAGCTGTGGCTACAGGGTGAAAAGACACACACACTCCCAATTTTTTTTTTTTTTTTTTTTTTTTTGGTCTTTTTGAGACAGGGTCTTCCTGTAGCCCCAGCTGTCCTGGAATTCACTATGTAGACAAGATCCTCCTGCCTCTGCCTTCCATGTGCTGGGACTACAGGCGTGCGCCACTACGCTCGGCTCAATATTTATTTTTTTATTTTACATGTATGTGTGTATTGCCTGTAAGTATGCAAGTGCACCAGTGTCATGCAATGTGGAGGTCAGAAGAGGGAGTCAGATCCCCTGGAACTGGAGTTACAGACAGCTGTTAGCCACCATGTGGGTGCTGGGAACTGAACCCAGGTCCTCTGCAAGAGCAACCAGTGTTCTTAACCACTGAGTCATCTTCTCCAGCCCTGAGAGGTGCCATATTCTACACTTACCTTAGGTACTTCCTATTATCTGCTCATAAATGTCTAGGAGCTGCTTCTGTGTGTGATGTCAGCCATGCCTCTTGAGTCCTGGTCCCCAAGCCCTGAGCTCTCTCCTCTCTCTACCGTAATCCTTCCCCCTCATTGAATCTCTAATAGCCACTTATCATTTGTTCAACCAAGAACTACTACTATAACCTCAGAAGGCATGGGAGACACACAGGAAAATGAGACACAATGCACCTATTTTCTTGCCTGTGCTTCTTTCTCTGCATCAGACATCACACCCCTCCCACTCACCATTAGCTATAACTCTGTCACTCAGTCCTGAGTCAGAAACAGGAATTACCTGAGGCTCCTGATTCCTTCCACAAGCCAATGTCCTGTTCCTGTATTTCACCATCTCTCCTCTTTATTCCCAAGGTCAAAGCATTCATTTTTATCCGCCTGGTCATAGACCAGCCTCCACTACCCTTCATGACAGATGTCCAAATCTCTAGTTCACTATTAACTCTAATCCTTTTATTCATCCACTTGGAAACTGTCAACAGAAGCAAGTCTCTGAAGTCCAATTCCCTTCCCTCCTCCAGCAACATAAGAACTGTTTGTTGGCTTCTGTGTTTTCTGAAACTAATTTAGCTGTTGGCACCTATGCACACACAGGTCCTGTATCTCAAGGTGTACTGTTTAAGGTTCAACTCAATATCACCTTCTCTTAAAAGTCTTCACTTCCTGGCCTTCTCTGTGTAGCTGTTGCACTGGGCAGGAAATCTATACATCTATTGTCCCCCACCTCCAAGCTTCCCTTTGAGCAAGCAGAGGTAAGTCTCACTCTGTTTACCCACAGAAGAGGACACCTGGGGCCCAACTCACTCTGCGGTTCCGGTTGTGATCCATAGTCTTGAGGTGCTTCTGGATAATTCCAAACTGCATGGGAATGAAGAGGTCACAGGCTGCACAATGGGCAGCCTCCACCTTCTTTACAAAATGCTCCATGGCAATTTCTGTAGGGGGCAGAAGGAAGAAGTTATCACTGGTCCCAGGTGCCAAAGACACTCAAAAAAGTAGGAAACCATCAGACTAGCTTCTCATCTCACCCTACCAAGCTCTACATGACCTTGAGGCTGGGGGAACAGAGGGGCCTCATGACCCATCATTGAAGACCAAAGAAGGGCAGGTTAAGGCCCTGCCTAGTGGCAATCATCCCAGTGGGATGAAACCGCCTCACCTTGGGTCAGATCCTGGTCTCTGTAGATCTGCTGGATCAAACCATCAAGGTCCTCCACAGTTTTTCGGAGCTCCTCTGTCTTCTTGGTCTTGTTAGTAACATACTCCTGTCAGAGACATGGAGATTTGTGTCAGCTGCCCTGTGGTCCCAGAGGCTGGAGTAATCAGTAGGAGCTGTGCTGTTCAGAGGCTCACCTGCAGGAAGTCAGCAGTCTGCCTGGGGAGTTTGGTGCCTACATATTTAAAATGCTCTTTGTGGAACTTGCTGTCAAGGTGACTGCTCATCTCATCCTCATAAAAGGTCCGGTATTTGCAGAGAGAACACACAAACTGGATCCTGCCACAGGAGGGAAACAAGTGGCTGAGACTGCAAGGGTCCCAGGGAATGACACTGCTGCCTCACCCAACCCAGCTGTAGGCCTTGCTCTGAAGTGCAGTCCCAGCAGAGGGGTAGGCTGGGACTGGTAGGACTGGGAACAGAAGGGGACAGTCTGCAGGCTGCAGTTACAGCAACGTAGGGGCAGGGGAAGAGCTCTTCCTTCCCACAGGCAAGAGGCTGAAGCCTGAGGCAGCAGCTGCTGCAACAGGCAAGGAGTCACTGGAAGGTTGCCGGAGAGCCTCTCTACCAAGGTTGGGCAGGAGCTTGTGCACTTGGCCCAGCCGGGGACCAGAAGGAAGGATGCACTGGCGAGAGCCAGGATGCCCTGAGGTGCAGAGTGGAGTACGCAGTCCTGAGGCAGGGCCCAAAAAGGTGCTGCATCTTCCTTGTGGGGTCTGGGGGACTCAAAGGCCCAGCCCATCCTCTGCTCAGAATGCTTGGGGGTGGTGTCGGGCGGGACCAGAGGCAGGCAGGCCTGGACACCTGCTGCCTCATCTTCCTCTTCTGAGAAGAGACCACTCTGAGCTGGAAGGAGGGCACCTGCCTGGCCTGCCACAGGGCAGCCTGAAATCACCAGGCGAGGTGCTCTGTCTGGGCCTGGTGTCCACAGCAGAAGCCCAGGGTCTGGGGCCTGGGCTGGAACAGGCCACCGTGGCAAGGGGCGGAGGAGGCCAGCCGCCACCGAGGCCTCGGGGCAGGTCCCTACCTCTGCCGGACGTCCTTATCTGGGCCACGGGGTCAGCTTTGTCTGGAGAGCCCAGGGGCCAGGCGCCGGCGAGGCTGAGTGGAAGGTCCAGCAAGAGCAAGTGTCTGAGGCGGAGGAGGAGGCAAGCGCCAGTGCGGGAGCCCTGAGGGCAGACAGACCCGACCAAGGGGCGTGAAGGGCTCAGCCGCAGACAGGCCCGGCCTAAGAGGGCCAGTGGGCAGGGCCAGTGGCAGGCCCAAGGCTGCCACAGCCCAAAGGTGCTGCAATCTCTCCTGGGCACGGCGGCGGCCTCTTGGCAGCTAGCTGGGGTGGCACAGGCGCCTTGGACCTTGAGTCTCTGATGAGCTGGCCCCCTCCCTCAGGGGCATCGGCCCCCTGTGCACCTCGGGGTTCGTGCGCTGAGTGACCTAGCGCTGGAGCTTCTGGGCAATGGTTTTGAGCAGTGCCGTGTCTCAGGCCACAGATGCCAGCAGTCGCCAGGCGGCCGCAGAGGGATAGGGAACGAGTCAGGCCTTGGGAGCTGGGCCTGGCAGGAAGCAGGGTCCATGCACAGCTGAGCAGGTGGCAGCTCCCAAGGGAGGCCAGAGGGCGGCGAGATGGCAGAGCTATGGCCCTGCTCTCCTGGCAGTAGCCCCAGAGCCAGGCAGAGGCAAATGGATGGAGGGAAGATGGTTACCTTTCCACCATTCGGTCTCGCTGCCGCTTCTTCTGCTTGTCCTGGCTCTTCTTGCTTGCCTGCAACTTGCGCTTGGCCTGGCTACTCTCATCCTGGGTGGTCAGGGCCCCTGTGGTAACAGAAGGTCACAGTTACCAGCTGGGCTCTGATGGGAAAGTAAAGGCCCTATGGCCTCTGGCTGAAACACCTGCTATGCACTCCAGAGGGTCCACCTGAGAGCAGCTGTACACACAAAGCCTCTGGCTATAAGCAGGGCTGGGTGCCCTGGCCTGGGCAGGAAGATTTGGCCTAAGTACCAGGAAGGGGGGTGGGGGGGGGACACACGCTCACCCCCTCTATTCTCTGGAACACCCTTGCTCTCTGCAGAGTGGGTGCAGAGAAACTGAAAGACAAAGACAGGTTGTTTTGGTGGGAACAAAGGCATGTGTTCAGAGGGTCCGGGTGGCAGGATACAGGGAGGCCGCTCATATGGCCCTGCCCACCCCCCACCGGGCACCGCGGCAACAGTGGGCTGAGGCTGGATTTACTGTTAGGTACCTGCTGGCGCTCATCACTCAGGTGGGGGGACACGGACTCCCAACAAGGGCTGGAGAGGCGCTAAGGGAGAGGACACGCAAACCAGAGCCGTAAAAACTGCACCAAGGGTCCCAGCTCGGACACCAGCCACTGAGGACTTGGAACTGTGTGTTACTGAGGGACCAAGGGCAGGGGGTATGCCTGAGGCTCCCCACACTTTTGCTTGCTGCCCCCACCTGAAGACAAAACCAAGGTGCTAGGAAAGGGGCCACATCATCCATAGCCTCCGCCTGTGAGGAACAGGAGCAAGGTGGGAAGGAGCAGAGTATGAAAAGTCCCCTGCCTGCACATACCCAGACCCACAAGGGAGGTCCCCAGTCAGCCATATTTCTGCCACAATTCTGCCCTCAGCTGTATCCCTCCCACTAACACCTGGAAGAGCCTCCCTAGAACCCAGGCCCCCAAGAAGACTCACCTTTCTCTGAATCTTCTTTGCCTTCTTCTCTCCCATCCTCTTTTCCCTCCTCTTCCTCTCCTTCCTAATATACAATTTTAAAACTCAACTTTAAAAAGTACACAATTACTTATGCTGGCTCTAAAGGTCAAAGCTCAGGACCAAGAGCTTCACATCCTCCCACCACCTGTAGTGTTCCTCCATTTCCCCCAAGGACTCCTCATTGCTGGTGAAGTGGTCTACACTTTCCATCAGACTACACAGACTCTTTGTGCTAGCCACCTACCACCAAGGTGACACCACACTACCTGTGACCCCTGTGGCAAAGGTCTGTGCTTTAACCCAGCTTGGTCTTCCCAGGCCCCATCTGCACAGACCAGGAGACTGGGGCCCAAGGTTACTTACTGCTCGGGAGCCTTTCTCCATAGCCTCAGCACTTTCAATACCCTCTGTGGCTTCCCCTTCAGTACCCTCATCTGCAAGGAACAAGGAGACAAGCTCAGTCCAGGAGCCTCATGGGGGCAAAGGGGAAGGAGGAGGGGCAGGGGCAGGGGCAAGGCCCCCATACCACCCAGCTCACCATTGTCTGAGTCACTGTTGTCTGAGCAGTCCGTTCGGGTAGCCTTGCTGTCTGGCTCATCAGGACTGCCGCCTTGCTTTCTCTTCTTCTTTTTGGTCTGGACCAGAAAGGAGGAGCCAAATCAGGGGATGGCTCCACCCTAGCAGAGGCTAAGAGGGGGAGGTCATGTTACTCACCCGGAAGTCAGCAGTGGTCCAAGTCTTCCAGGTCCGCCTCATCTGCTTTATGCCATTGCCAAATCCAAAGCCAAAGCGTGAGCCACCCGGAAAGGTACCCCCGCCACGCATGCCCTGGAACATGCCATACTCGGGGATGATGTTCTGGGAGAAGAGGGAGGGCAGCCGGGAGACACCAGGCATGCACTGGCCCCGGGCCCCCATGGGATCTTCCCACATGCGCCCATAGCCTGAGGCCAATGGCCGTCCACTCCGGGCATCCCGGGCCCAGCCCTGAGCCCTTGGACCGAAGGTATCGCTGCCACGCATTCGTAACTGGTCACGGTAAGCATCATACTGGCCCTCGTAGGCCATTTCCATCTCGGGGTCAAGCTCGCCATAGTCATAGCCTGACCGGTACAGGTCGCGCTCACTCAGGATGGCCCTTGAGTCACAGGCCTCGTAGGAGTCATATCTGTAGAGACACATAACCAGCATCAGGCACAGCCCCTCAGAGTCTTTCAGTCTAGCTGGGCTAACAAACTGCTCCTGCCCTGTCCTGCCTTGCCCACTTCCCCCAAATCCCAGTCCTGGGAGAGGAAATCTGGTAAGGCAAGTTTGCTGTTCAGAAAAGCCAGAGAGCAGAGTATCAGAAACGAGGGCTTCTCAGCTGATGTACTCAAAGGAGCCCCACTACCCCAAAGCTTGGATACAGCCATGTACCAGTGCAGGAGCCCTAAGAACAACAGCTGGAAAGGTGGCTCTGAGCCAGCAAGGGGCAAGGGTGCCTCGACAGACCTTCAGAAGCATCTGGTCTGTGACAATCACAATAGCCAAAGCCGCTCCCTGGGAACAGAGCCGAGCACCCAAGCATATGAATTCTTGAAATACCTGTGAGAACACTGGGCTGCTCTCATCTTTGATTGCTGGAGAAACTCCTAAGTCCTATTAAAGCCTTGCACCACCCAGAACAAGTGACAGAAAATCTGGAACATGTCTCAAGAAATCCATGAGCTTGCCAAGGGACCAGAAAAAGTCTGGGAACATAGCTCAGTTGCAGAACACTTGCCTAGTGCATGAAGCCCTAGGTTTAATCCCCAGCACTGAAAACAACCAGACTACAGACTACTTTCTGGGGCAGAGCTGGTTTATCTATGGTTGTAGCCTACACCCCTAAGGCTAGCTTCCCATATATCTCCAAAGCACAGGGTCCTCTTTACGCTTTCCTTCCCATGTATCACCAGGAAGTACCAGCAGACAGAACAGAAATGGCATCTGCTGATCCTCACAGGCACTAATTCCTGGGCTCCAAGCTGTGGCAAGAAGCTGTCCTGCAGTAATGTGAAGTCAAGTAAGCCAAGTTTCCTTGCTTTTCCTCAGAAGCCCTGGGACCTCACATGATCCTACCAATGACCAGCCTAGCTCCTCATTCTCTGCTTTCCCCCATCTGTCAGCTGAAGCCATTATCCAGCTCCCCTTCATCCTATGGTAGAAATACATGTGCCCTCCTCACTATGGCACAAGTACTCCTAGACCAACACACATACAAGGTATTCTGCAGGTGGGACCAATGGGAGCCCTAGGTTCAGACATCCCATTTACTCTCTAGGTACCTTAGGGCAAAGGGTATACCTAGAAGTGCCCTGCCTGCACTTACATACCCCATCTGCAAAACTAGGACAAGAGTTCCCCAGGAACTCTTTTAAAGGGCACACATTTTATAGCACCAGCAAGTGGTCTGTAAGTACTCACATTTGCCCTATTTCTTAGGTAAAGATGGCCAGCTCCCAGTGGTCAGCCCAAAAGCTTGTCCTACCCTTCCTACCAGTTCCAGTCTGCTCTGCCCTGGCATTGTGCAAGATACAAACCTAGACTCAATACCAACAGCTGTCCTGAAGAGAGGGAACATTACTTTGCTCCTGAGGAGCCATCCTATGGGTACAGGGAAAAAGGTGCAACTAAGGCCTGCTCTTCCCCTCTGCAGACCAGGGAGAAGTTGGCCACCAGGCTTTAGGGAAGGTCAAAGAAGGGAAGCAGAATGGACCCCATTAGGAGCACAGCAACTGGTAAGCTTAGAGCAAGGAGAGAGGAAGCAGTCACCAAGGAACATTCCATCAGAGAGGATGACCCCTGAAGAGCCTCAGCCCCTAGGTAGGTACCCCCACTCACCTTTCTCCACCTGAGCCGTACACACCTCCTTGTATCATGTCTGTCTCCAAGTGCGGCATCATATCTAAGCGCTGGTTAATTCTGGATAAAACGGAATCGGCACTGGTGCTACCCGAGGCACTAGGGTTTGCATTTGTGTCAGAGCTAGCCATTTCCCAAGAGTTTGAAGTGGCCATACCATACCCATAGTTGGTGGTGTTATCCTGGCCATAGCCATAGCCATAACCATAGTTCTCGTAGCCTGCATTAGGGAGAAAAAGGGACAGAGAGGGCCAGGTGGGGAGAAATGACAAGCAGGTAGACAGAGACAAATACAGAAGAAAAAGAAAAAAAAAAAGGTATTTTCTGTTAAAAACAAGCTGGGAGAACTCTAGCCACTTGAGGCCAGGTGGGTCTTCCCTTTCCAAGAAGACTTCCTATTCCAGCCCCAGGGACACCCAAAGCCTGCTTGGCCATATTGGTTCAATCCCAAGGAGACAAGAATAGTCAGAGGCTTACCTCTATTTGTCCCAGAGTTCCAAGTTCCATATCCTACAAAAATCAAAAGGGCAGTTTTATCTGTAATAGCTCCTGGCACAACATGAACTTAAGCTTGACACAATTTAATTCATAAGCAAAGGACAGTTACTCTTAGTATCTGACTGGCTACACCTGACTGAATTTCCCAAGATGCCCCATAACTGACAGTACCACAAAAGCACATGAGGCTACTCCTTGCCCCAATGCCCTTCACTCCTTCACTGAAGAAAAATGAAATGACCTTCCCATTCCTAGGTAAGCACTAACTGACAAAAGAGTTTGTAGTGCCTCAGAGTCTGTAAGCTACAATGTATACCTAGTATGTACAAGGCCCTACAAAGTAATAAATGACTGATGACTGGCTCACTGAAGGAATCAATAAATATCACAGACTTGCTAGATAAGAAGCCTAACACAGTACAGATCCACAATGAAATCATGCCACCCTGCTGAGGAACTCTGTCTTTCCAGGCATGACATGGCCACTGCTGTCTTGAAATCCCAGCAGGTATGCCTACCCTCATGACACCCTCAGAAGACTGAGCTACAAGCATTCCCATGGAAGGGGTAGAAAGCACACAAGGCTCCTCCCTTCTCCTAGTACATATGAGCAGTTAACAATCTCTGTATCCAAGGTAGAGCTGCCTGCAAGTTGTTCATGCTCCTATAAGAAATTCCAATTACACTCAGAGAGGCTTACCAAGCAAGGCTGGGGTAGACTTATTTCTTTGGTTTGTCATTGGTGTCCTATCTATGGTATACGCATTTGTTTCCAGTGTCCCAGGAAAAGTGATGCAACATACCCTAATCACCCATCTAAGAACCCTAAACATCTGCCTTAACTGGGAGGGCCAACAAGTCTTTGAATGTGTGTCACCCAAGAAGCACATCATCAGAGGAAGGACAAGAAGAAACTCCTGGGACTGGAGAGATGGCTCAGCAGTTAAGAGCAGTGACTGCTCTTGCAGAAGACCCAGGTTTGATTCCCAGCACCCACACGGCAGCTAACAACAGCCCCTAACTCCAGTTCCAGGGGATTCGACACCCTCTTCTGGCTTCTGTGGGCACTGCACAACACAGGTGCACTTACACACATGCAGGCAATACACTTACAGACATGAAATAAAAATAATGAATAAAAAATTTTTTAAGGAGCTGGAGAGATGGCTCAGTGGTTAAGAGCACTGACCGCTCTTGCAGAGGACCCAGGTTCAATTCCCAGCACCCACATGGCAGCTACGAACTGTCCTTAACTCAATACACATAAAATAAAAATAATAAAATATTTAAAAAAATCATTCCAGGGGTTGGGGATTTAGCTCAGTGGTAGAGCACTTGTCTAGCAAGCGCAAGGCCCTGGGTTCAGTCCTCAGCTCCGGGAAAAAAAAAAAAAAAAAAAAAAATCATTCCAAGTTCCAGACAAGCTTGGGCTACATAGTGAGTTCTAGGCTAGTCAGGGCAACATAGTGAGATCCTATCTGTCTGTATGTCTATCTCTCTCAATCAATTGATCAATCAATAGATAAATCAATATAAAAGGCACAATTCCTAGCTTGAAAAAACCCTTTAAAAGAACAATCTAGATCATAAACTAAATGTACTTTGGGTCTGATCAGAAGTGTCAAAAATGCATTCCTTCTAAAGTATAAAGCTGCTTGGAACAAGGTGCAAAGCCACATGAGCCTCCCCAGAGGGAGACAGGAGCAGGTGCCAACTTTGCCAGTGCCTCTAGTGAGACCCCCAGTTACCTCCTAGTGCAACCATCTTCACCCTGCTGACAGACAAAATATGCTTGTCCTTTGGACAAGAAGCCAAATCTCAGTGAGAAGACAGCATAGTGAATGGCATAATCCAGAACACAGAGGACAAACAGCGAAACTCCACAGAGACCATCTGCATTTGGGCTGCTTCAGCACACAAACAGAATGGGAAGGTGATGGAAACTAGCCAAGAAATTCTAGATGACTGCTACATTTAGTGGACTGTGGGCATAAGACAGCTCACAAAGAAAAAGTCCTCTCAGGCTAGGGAGACTCAATCCATGTGCCTATGCAACAAATATCTCAGACAGAAGCATTCCTGTGCTCTGCCGGAATGCTGCTTGTTGTCAAGAGATTTGGAAAACCAGAAACACAAGAGACAGACCTCAAAAGGGAAGAGTGGTTCAGGAACCATTTCCACAGGCAAGAAAAAAGCCCAGCAGAGTTACAAAAGAACAACTAAAAAGAGCCTAGTCACATAGTTGACAGCATCAGAAGCAGTGGACACTGGTTATCAGGAAGATAGGACTGGGAAACAAGCACAGATGTACTGGAACTCTGCTCATGGGGCAAGCTATAAGATGTCACCCAGGCTTTAGCTACTGAAGAGCTGCCAGAACCAGGTAAGGAAGCACAAGGGAAGGCACCAGAAGTGGCAGCAACTCTGCAACCATTTCAAGGGCAGGCAGAGGGCCTCCTGTTAGGACTGCCATCAGCTATTAGCAGGCCTGGCAACAGAGGCCTGTAATCCCATTTTCTTGCAAGACTAGCTAATTCAATGCCTGCCTAGAATACAGGGCTCTGGGTATTCACTATGTGCTACGTGCTATAAATGGAATGACCCAGACTCTCTAACGGACAACCAGTGGGTGGAAGGTGGAGGGGTGCCCCTTCAGAGGGAAATCATATCTAGAGTGCGGCACTTGGGAACTCCGTAAGATCGGCCTCTTCAGAAAAGATAGCCCACCTGACGTCTGTGCTGAGAAAGAATGAGTTCATAGCCAACAGAGAAAATTTTAAATGAAGGAAAAGCCAGGTATAGGTGTCTACACCTATAATCCCAGCACTGAGGAAGGAAAGGTGAGAGGGCTACCGAAAGCTCTAGACCAGCTCAGGCTGCATAGTAAGGTCCTGTCTCAAAAAGAAGAGACAGGAAGGAGATGATCACCATGATACTTATAGACCAGAAATGAACACAATCTTAACTGTTCAACTTTAAGGCTTATACTCTACCTGCTCAGTGAAACACCAGGTAAAGATCAAAACAAAATTCATTATGCCTTACATGACATGAGGAAATGCTCCTAACATAAGGCAAAGAAAGGAGGACACATAATCCCATCCATCTATAAATTATTCGACTATATTATATAGATAAGATAACCAAGATTACCTATTAAAATGGTAGGATCTTAGTTGACCTTTTCACAGAGTAAAATTTAAATGCTGTTATATTGTTCTTACAATTTCACCAGAAGGAAAAAGACCTCCCTATGTAAGAAAGATCTCAAAAACTCATAAACGTACAAAAGAGCTCCTCAAAGAACTAGTGAGCTTAGCAAGGCTTATAGTCAGCTTTCCCAGGCCTGGTAGTGCAGGCCTTTAATCCCAGCACTTGGGAGGCAGAGGCAGGCGGATCTCTGTGAGTTCAAGGCCAGTCTGGTCTACATAGCGAGTTCCAAGCCAGCTGGGGCTACAGAGAGACACTGTCTCAAAAAGACCAAAAAAAAAAAAAAATCCAGCCTTAATGTTGCAGGGGCTGTAGAGATGGCTCAGAGTTAAGAGCACTGGCTATTCTTGCAGAAGACCTGGATTCAAATCCCAGCGCCCACACGGTGGCTAACAACCATCTGTAACTCAGCTCCAGGAGATCCAATGCCCTCTTCTGTCCTCTGCAGGCATTGTACAACATTGGTGTACTTACATACATGCAGGCATAACTCGTACACATAAAATAAAAATAAATTTTTTTAATGCTAGCCAAGTGCTGTTAACTCTTTTTGTACAATGTGAGAAGAAAGAAAGAAGAAAAAAACTCCAAAGGGCCTGATTTTTAAAAAATATTTTATTTATTATTTTTATTTTATATGTATGAATGTTATGCTTGCATGTATGTAAGTGCACCTGTGTTGTGCAATGCCCGCAGAGGACAAAGAGGCTGTCAGATCCCCTGAAACTGGAATTATAGACAGCTATTAGCTGCCATGTGGGTGCTGGGATTTGAACCCAGGTCTTCTGCAAGAACAGTCAGTGTTCTTAACCGCTGAGCCATCTCACCAGCTTGATTTTTTTTTTTAATTTTATGTGTATGAGTATTTTGTCTTCCTGTATGTAACTGCACCCATGTTCTGCAAAGCCTGCAGAAGCCAGAAGAGGGCACTGGATCCTCTGGAAATGGAATTACAGACAGTTGTTAGCTGCCATGTGGGTACCAGAAATCAAACCCAGGTCTTCTGGAAGATCCCAGTGATCTTAACTGCTGAGCCATCTCTCCAGCCCCAGGTCTGATTTATTCTGAAAGGCAAGCTTACCTAAAATTTTGTAGTTGGTTGTGATTATTGATTGCTTGATTTTAAACTGTTGTTTTAGGTCAAGATAGGGCTGGAGAGATGGCCCATAATTAAGAGCGATTACTCCCTTGCACAGGACCTGAGTCTGGTTCCTGGAACCCTACTGGATAGCTCACACTGTCTATAACTCTAGTTTCAGGGAATCTGACACCTCTGACCTCTCCAGGCACCTGCACTCATGTACACATACTCTCACACAGACTACCCTCACACAGATACACACACACACACACACGAGTTAAAACAATAAAAATAAATCTTAAAAAGTTTAAGTCAATATATAGTCTGGAGTGGTGGTGCATGACTTTAATCCCAGCACTCAGGAGGCAGAGGCAAGCAGATCTTTGTGAGTTCAAGGTCAGTCTGTCTACACAGTGAGTTCCAGGCCAGCCACTGATACACAGTGAGACACTGATTCAAAAAAACAAAACAAGGGGCTGAAGAGTTGGCTCAGTGGTTAAGAGCACTAGCTGCTCTTGCAGAGAACCTAGGTTCAGTTCTCAGCACCCACATGGTGGCTAATAACCATCAGTAACTCCAGTTTCAGGGGATCTGATGCCCTGTTCTGACTTTCATGGGCACTTACATACATGCAGGTAATACACTCATACACATAAAATAGAAATAATTTTAAAAAACTCTCCAGGGTTTATTTTATTTTTATTTTATTATTTTTGCTTCCTGTTTGTTTGCTTGTTTATTTGAGGCAAGGTCTCTCTGTGTAGCCCTGGCTGGCCTGGAGCTCACTATGTAAACTAGGCTGGCCTCTATCTCAAAGAGATCCGCCTACCTCTGCCTGCCTCCCTTGTGCATGCACTACCACCCTGTCACCCCTTACTTTTCCACCCCCCACCCCCCCACTGCAGGGTTTATTTTAATAAAAATTGATGCGCTGACTCTAAAATTTACATGCAAAAGTAAACAAACCATATCCAAGACAATTTGGAAGAAAGAGTAAATCCAGGGACACACATCAACTGACTTCAAGGCTTACACTAGCCAATAGTTAATACAGCATAGTACTGGAGAAAATTCAGATAAACAGACCAACTGAAGAAAACAATGATTTTAGAAACATTGTATGTTTCTCAGGACACAATATATAGTCAATTGCTTTTCAACAGGTAAAAGACAGTTCAAGAGTCTGACTTGAGTGTGATCCCAGAACAGATTTCCCACAAACTGCCCTCTGACATCCATATGCCTGCAGTGGTGCACACACAAGCATGTACATACAAGTAAATTAATGTTTAGAAACAAAACAAATGAAACAAACACCAGTCAGCTGGCTGTGGGTAAAGATGCTTGCCACAAAGCCTGGACACAGGAACCAGGAATTTGACCCCCTAGCGCCCACATGGTAAAGGAAAAAACTCCCAAAAGTCAACTTCCACATATACACCATGGCACATGCACACCACGGCACATGCACACCACCCCACCCACCCATACACACAGTACTAAAAATGTAAAAAAAGAAAAAGAGAAGGAGAAAGGAGGGGGAACTATATTTGATTAAAAGGAGAATATCATGAAATATCTGATACCTCCCTAACCAACTCCTCCTCCTCCTGGGGCTAGCTATTAATACTTGCAAGCTTATCTCAGCTTATTCAGTGACTCAGGAGGGAATGTCAGCTGTTGTAGGCTCAGTCTTTTGCCAGACCTTGACAGTATAACTAATTCCTCCTTTAAATAACCAATATCTTTATTCATTCTAAAAAGGACTCCTTGCCAACAGACATTCCTGGGAGCACAGACTGGGAACCAGCTTCATCAGTTCAGGATTGTTTGCAGCACATGAACAGAGTAGTGCCTATAAATCCCATCAGGTAGCACATCTGAACTAAGAATAAGCCCTGTTTACCCAAAATTGAGTCATCAGTTGGACATTTCCTTCTATGCTGTATGTAGAACCCACTGGCTTGAGATGGCCTAGCTAGGTAATCGTTAAAATCACTAAAGTCTAGCTAGGTCTTGAGACACATTTAGCCTCTCCCTCAGCAAGTGACAGCCAACACCCTGGGGACTGAGTTAATAGCCTGGTTTCTCCCGGACCAATCTTTTCCAGCTATATTCATCAAGGGACAGCTATGAGTGCATTCCAACACAAAATCATGTGAGCACTAGCTATTCAATTGGCCCATGATACCACTTTATTGGAGTTTGGGTTTAATAAAGCAAGACAGGGGGACAGCAAGCCAAAAGCAACCAAATATAGGACAGCTTTGCTCACAGAAGGCAGAACAGGCTGGCTCCCATCAGGAGCTCACACTTACCATAATCACAAGTGGGCTGAGCGCTGGTGTCAGAGTATGTCGACTGCAAAGTGGTTTCAGATCCCTGGACAAAGCCTAAACATATGCACAAAGTAGTTAATTTCCCCATAGGAAAATAACTAAGGCTACCAAGCCCTCCCTTCAGTTGGGAAACTTCTAAGACCTATAGATTCCATACTTTAATTAGACCTCTGGAACATATTAACACTGAAAAGGCAGTCCATGTTTATAAAAATGTGTAAACATTTAAGCTACTAACCTTTTCTGATGAATGAGTACTTAAATTATCATTCAGCTTCATAAGGAAAATACTTTATCAAACCACTGTAAAATAAGTTACTTCCAATTCAAATAAAGATGGGGTTAGTTTTGAAATGCTAGTGCAAATGATGGCTCCTCCCCTCATTTTAAATCTGAAATAGAAACTATTACTTATATATGCACACACAGATAATTGTTTTATGTAAGATTTATTTATTTATTGTCTTATTGAGACAGGCTATCCCTGTAGCCTCAGCTGTCCTGGAACTCAGAGATCTGCCTACCTCTGCCTCCCCAGTGCTGAGATTAAAGGCGTGTACCACCACACCCAGCATTAGATTTATTTTTATGTTTATGAGTATCTTGTCTGCAAGTGTGTGCTTGGTGCCTTCGGAGACCAGAAAAGGGAGTTGGATCCCTTAAAACTGGGGTTTTGGGTGCTGGGAATCGGTGCTGAGAACTGAACTAGTATCCTCTGGAAGAGCAGCCAATGTTCTTTAATAACTGAGCCATCTCTCTAATCCTTTGTTTTGTTTGAGGGGGGACTGTTGGTTGGTTAGTTTGGTTTTGGTTTTGGTTCTTTGAGACAGGGTCACTATATAGCTGACTCACTATATGGACTGGGCTGGCATTCAACTCACAAATCTGTCCTGCCTGCCTGTCTCCACCTCCTGGGTGCTAGGATTAAAGGTGTGTGCTGCCACACCTGGCTATGTTTTTGTTTTAATTTTAATTTTTTGTCTTTTTGAGACAGGGTCTCCCTGTAGTCCCAGCTAGCCTGGAACTCACTATGTAAACCAGGCTGGAGCCTGGAACTCACTATGTAAACCAGGCTGGCCTCACAGATTCACCTGCCTCTGCCTCCTGAGTGCGGGGACTAAAGGCCTGTGCCACGCCACCACACCCGGCTGTTTTTATTTTTTGAGACAGAATTCTACTCTATAGCCTAGGCTGGCCTCAAACGCACAACAATTCCCCTGCTTCAGCCTCCTGGGTACTGAATAGTACCAGCATGAGGCATTATATTTGGTTTATAATTTTAGTTCCCCTATATAAACAAGTGTATATTGCAGGACATGGTGGTACAATCTGTAATCCCAGCACTTAGAAGGATCATCAGAGTTCAAGGCCAGCCTGGGTTACATTGTGATGAGATACTTCAACACTGACCATAGCTACACCATGTTACAAGCAGGCCCCAACTAAGTAGTTTTTTTTTTTTTTTTTTAAAAAAAGGAGGTTCAACCCGGCTCAACCCCACACCTTAGAACAGGTCAGCATGTATCTGGCTACCCCTACTAACAGCAGATTTATGGCTTCTGTAGGTAATACTTGGCTTGCTTTTACAGAATAGTAATTCTTGTTTTACAGAATAGAAATTGTTAGAGGAGCTTTTCACCCCCAAGCTTGGGAACTTAAACTTTTCACCCCTGGACGTAGTTTTTCTGAATAAAAACTCACCCTAGAGATGGCTTGGGGCTGCACTTGGGAATGGACTACCCAGTGCAGTTGCCAGCAAGCTAGAAAAATAAAAAAAAGGCTTCTTTTTGGCAATTTTGTGTGTGTGTGTGTGTGTGGCTGTGTGGTCTTCTCCGGTGAAACAATATCACAAGAGACTCTACCTCAAAAAAATAAAAACAAAAGTGTCTATCAACTTGGTGTGTGTGTATTGCTATAGATGGAACCCAGAGCTTTGAACATGCTAGCAAACATTCTATCTCTAAGCTTCATCCCTGAGCCTCAATTCTTAAACCTAATTATGTTTGGCATGTTTATATGAAAATAAGGAACATTATATCAGAGATAAGCTGGGCATCAAACCTAAAATCTGAAATCCTTAGTAAGACAGGGTCTTACTAAGTAGCCCTGGCTGGCCTGGTACTCACTATGTAGACCAGGCTGGCCTAGAACTCACAAAGATCTGCCTGCCTCTGCCTCCCAAGTGCTGGAATTAAAGGCATATGCCACCACACTTGGCCAAAAAATAAATAAATAAATAAATAAATTTTTTTAACTTTTTAAAAATTTTATTTTATGTATGAGTGTTTTGCATGCATGTATGTATGTAAGCCACCACACCTGGTCCCAAACTGTGCCTGGTGACCTCAGAGGTCAGAAGAGGGTGTTGAATCCCCTGAAAGTGGAGTTGCAGATGGCTGTGAGATGCCATGTAGGTGCTGGAAACTGAACCTAGTCCTCTGCAGGAGCAGCAAGTGGACTTAACCTCTGGGCCATCTCTCTAGCCCTCCCATCATCCCACCCCCCTACCCGGCCCCTTTCTAGTCTTTTTGAGACAGGGTGTTCCTGTAGCCCCAACTGGCCTGGAACTTGCTGTGTAGACCAGGCTGCCCTTGAACCCACAGAGATCTGCCTGCCTCTGCCTCCCAAGTACTATGCTGGCCTAACCTTGAAATCTTTTGCTTGTTAACATGAAGCTACAAGTGGAAAATTCCACACCTGACCTTATGTGTGTGACAAGACGCAGTCAAAATGTAAATGAACAAAAATTATTTTATAAAATTATCTTCAGGCAGCCAGGTGTGGTGGCACGCCCCTTTAATCCCAGCACTTGAGAGGCAGAGGAAGGTGAATCTCTGAGGCCAGTCTGGTCTCCATTGTGAGTTTGAGGCCAGTCAGAGCTACCCAGTGATACTGTCCTTAAAAT